ACAAGAGTAATAGTATTTTCCACATATTTGGGACAGGTACAGAATCATTTCGATTCCATGTATTTGGTGTTGATTCGATAAACAAAGATTCGGTTATCAATCTCTCCCTCCACAAAACTATGTTGGTTTTCAACACTGTAACCCTATCCCATCCTACTGTGGGATTATGTGTGTGTGTGTGTGTGCAGTGCTATAGCTGAGCTTTTCTCTAGATTGCCTATCTTGTTAGGATCTACTAATCTTGATTTAGCCAAGCTTTTGTACTCGATTATTCTAATCGACCCTGGTAGACTACTTTCACCTTTGTATTTCACCTCACAATCATTGCTAGCAATTTGATACAATAAATTCTTTTGCCCAATTGGATCAGTAGGATGTTTTAACCTGCAAAGCTTGTTTCTAAGTGAGTTTGTTAGTTTAAATGCCAATTCACTGCCAGCCTTATTGACAATTCTTCGTAGTGCTTCTGAAGTGCCTTCCTTGTATGGTAACAAAGCAGAGGCTTTGAATTCTCTTTCAACTGTGTCACCATTATTACCATTGGCAGTAGAATTATTATTAATAGCACCTGTATTACTACTACTGCTACCACTGCTAATATTATTCTTTCGATTTCTTAAATTTTGGTGGATCATTATCGAGACGCAAGGTATTCTTGATGTGTGGAAATTCTTGTCGTAGATTTTCTGACCTACTAGTAAGCTATTTTGGCCTATAACTTAAGCATTTAACTAGGCTTCTTTAACCGAGATGAGGAGAGATGATTTGAATTCTGAGTAGCGATTCAAATGGGTAGGGTTCTTATAAAGACTAGTCTCTAATCTTCCACCTTGTTTTCGTTTAATCTTGCAATCCAACATTGCTAGCCGACTTTCATCACTTTCAGAGTCACAGGTGAATTTGATTGCATTCACTACAGAATCTATATTTGCAAAGAACCCATTGATGTGTTCCGATTTCAGTACTTTAAACATATCACCTACACATCGGAACCACATCTTTGAGGTAGGACTAAATGTCTGAAGGGTCATCCCTTCTCAACTATCCATAAATATGTCTGCGACGATAGGGGATATTGGTAATTTCATGGCAACCCCTTCAATTAATTTATATATTTTGCTTTGAAACTTAAAAACTATAGACGTCAAGCCCAGTCGTACTCCCAGCGTGACTTTCTTGATCGGCACCTTAGTTCAGTGCATAAGCTCACTGTCATACTTAAACCCATTTCTAACTGCCTCTAAGCTCTGTTGATTGGTAAATTCGTGTAATGGTCAGTTATGTCAAAACTAATATTTTTTTTCGTTATCAACTGTTATCGACTCGTATATAGTCTAATATATGCTTGGGTCAAGAGAGTTAGTAATTCGAGATTTTGAGTGATTTCTAGTTGAGCCTAGTACCATCGGTAAGTATTTAGACAACTCGTAAGTTGGAGTGTTTCTAAAATCTACTATACACCTAATGGGATAACCTGTCTTATGGATTTTAATAGTACCATACATTCTACTGAGATTATTATTTCTCGGCGTTAAATCAAACCATTTCGATTCATCTAGAAACGGCTTCATTCGGCGTTTCAGATCCCTTATAGATTTCTTAACCTTATTCATAGCAGTATCCACTATTTTCTTAATTTCTCCATATAGTCCTGTTTGCATATATTCATTCACTTTACAGATGTAGTCAGGCTTTTTCATTACAACTACTGAGTTGCGTCTGTCTGATTTGACAGTTAATATATTCTTATCATTTTGAAGGTCTCTGAGAGATTACTTTTCTGATTTGGGTTAATTAGGTTTCCTTTTCTTCTATCATTTCAGTGTTAGAACACACTGTGCTCTTACTTCATCTGCACTTATCTGTTGAGCGTAACGCTATTTCTAATTTAAAAATAACATCATCTGGTTTCAATTCATTAATTGCCTTTCTGTAGAACTTTTACTTCTAATGAGCTTAGGGCTCTAGTTAAGAGATTGACAACTCTCTTTGACTTATCGATCATTGGTGATGTGCTATTGTTGATTTCATTATTGTGTCTATCTCAAAGTTGCGGAGTTACTCGATATGAATATGGATAATAAATTATGTCCAAAATGTTATCCAGTAAGTGATACTATTTCATTATGTGATATTTCTAATAAATAGACTAAAATGGAATTGTAATCCAAGACAGTGCCCAATTTTTACAATTATATCTTCAGCGCTAACTTCATAAATTTATGAAGCATATTCCAGTGTTAAACGAATGTTTAGATAGTGCTTTTGTCGACCTTGATGTTGTCCGCCTATGTGTTTGGGAAGAGATTTTTAACTCACTTTGACCTCTTTGATCTTAAATTTCATTCAGAACCTGAAAAGCCTCCAAAAGCAGGCTCGAAAATTGCAAGAGAATTTATAGTAGCGTGGCCTTTTAAACCATAGATCATTCAACAGACATGGACACAGACCTAATCTATAATCTACTTAAACGAAGAAACATAGCTACCCTTCAACCAAGAGCAAATTGACCTAACAAATCAGTAATGGCGGACACTGTAGCTGCAACAAACAGCACAATTCCTCTTCAACAAAGATTATCCGTTAATGTGATTGAAAGAAATTTAAGATCAAATTCGTCAAGGTGTGATAAAAAATCTCTTCCTCAACTTAAAGCTGAACAACATCCAAGGTCAATGAAAACACTCCAAATGTCCGAGTAACATTAGAATAAGCCTCACTTCCTTTTGGAGTTATTGCTGTTGATGCCATCAAATCTGGTTAGGAACCGTTAGAGACAAAATATCACAACTCAGAGAATACCAAACCATGATCATCCTTATCTTGAGCTACAAATCTTTTTCATCATTTCATAACTGCCAACTAATATTCATTTTGTTTATCGTTAATTATTTTAACTCTGAGATATCCATGGTTTGGCAATCTAGTGTTGATAGTGGGTGATGACTGAAGATAAAATGAAAACATGAACCACTACGGGGCTCAAACCTGCAACCACCGAGTTTCCGGCTCGATGCTGTACCAACTGACCTATGAGGTTCAACTGGTGACCACATTTTTATTTCACTTTTGTTTACTGTGTTAATTGGATTCGTTCCACATACATCCACTAAACAAATTAATGGATATAATGCAAGATTTGTTTTCAGCAAAGGTCTCAATAACTGCTCAGTTTTACTATCTTGAAAAATTTTGAAAGGAATGTAACTATAGGAGGTAATTATTGTTTCAATTTGGTGATACTAATTTTCGATTGTTATGAAGTCGAAGACTTGTTGAATGATATTCAGAATAGTGTTTAAGGAGTGCTTTCAGCTTGATTGGTCTATAGCTTAAGCAGAAGACTTATCTTTAAACAGATATCACTAATTTGTAAACAAGTATCTTATTCCAGAAACGCCAAGTAATGGCTTCATTTATTCTCATCTGTTGCTGAAGAACACAGAAGTGGGAACTAGTCTAGAAAAACACCGAAAAAAGATCTTGGTTGTTTTAACGTTGTGAGCAAAAGTGAAAAATGTATACATTTTCGTCTCGAAGATAATATGTAACCGAATCTGATCGGTTTCTAACAGACAGGGAGAAACCACTAACCTGTGGCTAATACCAATGGGAATCTCACAAACTATAGATATTTTATAAAATTTAGCTTGACGTTATTAAACGTTTTATTTATTTCAAGGTAGTATTCATCATTCTTTGAAAATGTTGAAGCACTGAACAGCTGTTTCGTTCTAGTGTGGAACTCCTCAGAAGTACCCTTCACGACCACAAGGTCCTAAGTTCGATTTCCGGTGCAGTCGTTGATATGCACTGCTGAGGAGTTCCATACAAGGGCAAAACAGCTGCCCACAGCTTCCAGGTGTTCATGGCTTCTCCGACTGGTGTCAATCCGTGATGAATACTACCTTAACATTTATAAAGTGTCTATTCAGTCTATGGCATTTATTATAACTTAGTTTCATTTTATTCACTAGTTGGAAAACCCATTTACCGAATCCAAGCACAAATTAATACTCCACTTCAATCTGCTCGTGCCCCCACATATATATAGCGTAAACGGTATTAAGGAGACTATGATGACCTGGTAATAATAAGGTAAAATTATTAACAATAATCTTACAGATAAGTCTAACCATATTTAGTTGTCTATCTCATTTGAGTAGTTACAGAATTTCTAGGGTCAGTTATACCACATGACTGTGCTGAAATGTAATTCCAGTTTAGTTTGTTTAGTACATGTGATACATAATAAAAAAGTATTATTTGCTGGATTACGTTTCGGACATTATTTATTATCTGTATTCATATCAAGTAATTCCCCAACGTTGAGACACGGTTTATATAGTTCTAAATCACCAAGGTGGGGAGACATGTAGGAATACGTAAACTGTATCTCAAAGCTGTACAGCTACCAAGTGTGAATGTTGTTATATACCTCTAATTTTGTCTGACGTCGGCCTGACATTTACCTATAATCAATGTTTTCGTGTCCTCTTAGCACCGTTGCTAGCTTCTGTTTTTTTTCACTGCTTCTGGAAGCCGAACTCTTATTGGTTGTAAACCCTTTTAATTTATCAGCGAATTTAGTGTTTGTCAAGGGCATTTAGAATGTATGTATTTAGGATCGCTGTCAACTATTTTGACTGTTATTGAGACAGTAAAGGGTGTCTGTCAATGGACCGTCTTTTCTTGTCTTCTTGTGCCAGTAATATTATTGCTGTGGTGGTTGGCATTCTGATTAGATTCTTTTGCATGCTTTAGGTTCGTATCATCCATGGACTGGTAGGTTGCAGTAAATGTAGACGTTAAGCTGTTTCCGAAACGTGATCCAGTAAGTTTTACTACTTCACTGTCCTACGCATTATTTAAATGAGATAAAATGCATAGCACATGACCTTGAAATTTTGTTAAAAGATACACGATTGGTGTGTTGGTCTACAAACTAACCAACCAACATTCTTGTTAGTTATTGCACAATGTAATATACTTTAACTTACTAATCGAGTCGTTCAAGAAACGACGTAATTTGTTCAGCAACATCTTGTAATGTTCCTAGAATTGAACGTATTTTATTAAGTTTCGTTGTGAAACTGGTTTTTTTGTCCTTCTTAAAAGTAGAGAAAAGAAATCAAATTGTAAAAAGGGTTTGTTATTATTTCTGTCTATGCTTTCCACTCTGACAGTTTTATACAAATTAAATAAAAGTGGTTACGGTAGATTAAATGACAACTGAATCGATGATACATTTCTCTAAGAGTTAACTATTTGTAAACTGAGTTCGCCAATATTCAGAGCAAATTTTCTTTAACCTACCACCTACCGTTAACGCAAATCACACAAAGGAGAACAAGTATATCGGATGAAAAGTGACACAAATTCATCGTTATTTTAAACCACAGTCATAACCTCGTATATTTGTGTAGCCTATAGTTATAATTAACAGTATAAGCCATAAATTTCAAACTGTGATTTTGTCTGGTTCCATTTTAGTCTGTTTATTAGAAATGTAACACAGTGAAACTGTATTATTTACTCCATAACGTTTTGGACATAATTTATAGTACATTTTCATTTCAAGTAACTCCATAACTTCGAGACACACTTTATATATTCCTAGTTTTCTCTCTTCCTCTGTGATGACAAGGGTAGTGGAATTTTACATATATCTGGGATAAGTACAGAATCATTTCGATTCCATGTATTTGGTGTTGATTCGATAAACAAAGATCGGTTATCAATCTCTCCCTCCACAAAACTATGTTGGTTTTCAACACTGTAACCCTATCCCATCCTACTGTGGGATTGTGTGTGTGTGTGTGTGTGCAGTGCTACAGCTGAGCTTTTCTCTAGATTGCCTATCTTATTAGGATCTACTAATCTTGATTTAGCCAAGCTTTTGTACTCGATTATTCTAATCGACCCTGGTAGACTACTTTCACCTTTGTATTTCACCTCACAATCATTACCAGCAATTTGATACAATAAATTCTTTTGCCTAATTGGATCAGTGGGATGTTTTAACCTGCAAAGCTTGTTTCTAAGTGAGTTTGTTAGTTTAAATGCCAATTCACTGCCAGCCTTACTGACAATTCTTCGTAATGCTTCTGAAGTGCCTTCCTTGTATGGTAACAAAGCAGAGGCTTTCAATTCTCTTTCAACTGTGTCACCATTATTACCATTGGTAGTAGAATTATTACTAATAACACCTGTATTACTACTACTATACTACTACCTTATTACGTTCTGTTAATCAAATATTTCCCTCATAATGGAAAAGATTTGTGGCGCGGGACGAAGATGACGGTAGTGGAGTGTTCTCTGATCTCTGGTATTCATCATGGACTGGCACCAGTTGCAAGAACATTGGAAACCTAGGAATACTGGATGACTGTTTTGTCCTAATATGGGACCCCTCAGCAGTGCTCACCCATGACCCAACACTCCACGGATCGAACCCAGGGCCTTCAGGTTCCATGGCCAGCACGTTAGTCAAAGGTTCAGAATACGATGGATCGTATTTCCAACTCCCATCAATTCACGACATAGCGCGATCATCACCAAAATGTCATCGTGGCTCAATGGTAACGTGCTGGCGACGGAACCGGAAGGTTCATTGTTCGACCCCTGGAAGGTGGGATCGTGGGTGAGCACTGCTGAGGAGCCCCATACTAAGACAAATCGCTGTCCAGTGCTCCGAGGTTTCCAATGTTCCTGCAACTAATCTCAGTCAATGGTAAAGATAAAACTGAAATCAACAAATCCCCACAAACTCCCAAATTGAAAATACCAGATCTCAGAGGACGTCAAGCCTCCAATATGTTCCTATTTATTGGATGAAGAATGAGGTTGACGGAAAAACTCGAGTTGTCGTATAGAGTGAAAAAAAGCCTCCAAATTAACAACTCTACGCTGTAGAGACTGAGTTTGTTACTTTGGCTGGAGGTAGTCGGTAGATAATTCGGTTTCACTTCTATTTCGGGCTTCTTGGTACTCGTCAGCGAAGCGTATCTGCAGCCTCTGGGGAGTTGATGTCGCCTCTGAGATTGAAATTCATGTCGCTCAGTGTCACAGTTAGCGATATTACCACTGAGGTATTCGGCCTGCAGTTGACCTTCCGTAGGACTAGATTAGGTACACTGGTTAAGTAACTAATCAATAAATCTTTTTCTCACTGATACAGATTCATCTAGACATTAACAACTATATCATGCAGTGGCAGATGATATCTGGCTAAGTCTAAAGCAAAATTCTGGTTTTTCGATACAAGTTACGTGTCCTTCAGAATAAATCAGTGACGACATTGCTACTTGGTCAAGTACTCTATTAGCACCCTTTTATTGAAATCATAAGGTCTCATGAACCGTGTACTCATAGCAACTTCAGTAAAAAGGAAGAATCCATTTTCAATTTAAAAAGACGATTGACTTCTTTGTGTTTCACATTCATTTATAATGGTGTTTCTCAATTTACCTGTCGTATACTGATTCCCAGTATTTATGAAGCTATAATTAGTCATTATTTACTTGCCTAACGCTCTCTTGATTAAACATTCTTCGACAACTAACTATTGAATAATCTTCAAAGATAATAACTGATATTATCAGTGTAGTCAAGCTCATCAACACTCAAGGTCATTTCGCGTGCTTAGTTTAGTTATTTACCCTTAGTGAAACTGAAAAAGTTATCAAGACATTTAGATCTTCATCTACGCAAGGCTGAACCATTACAGTAGATAAGTTGTTTGTCTTAATACAGAACATAGCATTCCTTTGCGAAGTATCTTTTCAAAAAAAGTATGAACGAAATTTACTGAGATGACAAGTTTGCAGAAATAGAAATTGTTAATAAACAGACAGACATCTTTGAGTATTTTAAGACAAGAATTTGTCAAAAGTCCAAACCAGTGAGCTTGGCATTTGATTATGTAGTTATTTGGTTTTATCACTCATGTGCAGATTATTTGGCAGTGGTTAGTAGTGGAATCCTGAAAGCATGTTTCATCCCTTTTGGGACAAGTCAGCTGGACGCAACTAAGCGATGTTATCCCCTGTGAGATTCAAACCACGTGACCGCTGCTTCAAATCCCAAAGGGTTATCAGAAACGCCACTTAGGTATGATAGCCACCTCTTGTGCAAGCTGTGTTGTACTGTGTATATTGTCTAGCGTCAGAAGTCAGTCTCAAAGATATTCTTTAGAATCTTGGTTTCATCACCCTAGGCAATGTGTAGTTGTCATGTTGTGGTTTGTAAGTTTTCCTTATTGATTAAACTGAATTGATCAGTAACTATTGACACATTTGAGCTGCTGTGTGGATATCTCGATGTATTACCTGATTATTGATCACGTTGTAATTCACTTACTGGTAGCTAGCAGTGAAGTCAAGTTAGCTATTGCAGTCAAATGAAGATAATCAATAGGAATCGATGTGATTAAATATGGAATACATCTGATTCCAAACAGCGACTAAGGAAACCACTTTGGATATTCGCAAAGTGCTTGGTATTATGAGCATGAGGTTACGCAAGACAGCCAAACAAACCTTAAATCTTTTAGAAAGATACTAAAATACTTGTGTCTCAGGGGAATAAATATGTTATATAATGCAGAAATTCAGTAGCTTATTTATAAAAGTTATGAAGTAGATACCTTAAAACCCTTTAACGTAATAAAAAGGAGTATTATATAAACCTTGTGACGGTCACTGAGATTTTAGCGACCAAATGACAGAAATGAAGGTTGTTGAATCAAAAAGAAGTGGTATTCAGTTTTTTTATCCTGATAAACTAACATTTTACTCTTTCTTTCATCTGATAACAAAATCTTTTAGCTGAACCTTTTTCGGTTTGTACTTATTGTCAGATAGTCATTTCGCTACTTAAGTTCAATTCATTATGTGACTTTATAATTCTTCTGTTATTTCTTGTCAAACAACTCACTTGTTAACTGATAGAAAGCGACTTAATTCGAAATCAGCATTTTAAGTCATCAGCCGCTAGGATAGAATCTTAGGATTTCAGTCTTTTTTCATGTTACTGTGAGGGCGGGGAAAACTGTATTGGACAATTTTGTCCTTCAACTGACCAATCAAAATAAGTATCCAACTTTTGACCTAGTGGCTTTATTCTCTGAGAAACATTATGTGACGTTTGTATTCCATATTCAACCATATCGATTTCTGTTCACTAATTTTATTTAGGTGCAAAAGATAACTTGAAATTCGCTTGTTACATCACATTTAATTGTTTCACTTTTTAAGCACCTAATGAGAGACCGGCAAAAACAAAATGATTCCACGTTATTCTGTTTCGATTCTTGCTGTTTCTCTATTCAAACTATCGTTTCATTGTGATCAGTATTCTGTTAACTGTACTATAAGGCTGACTACGGATTGGTAGTAGTCCGGTTGACTTCAGTCATCTGCAATTTTGCTCAGTCACTAGGTAATTCAGTGTATGTGACCAGTTTTACCACTAGTAGGTTAAGTAAAAAGAAACTTATCATTGATGATCAAATTTCCGTCAACTTAGCCAACATACATTGTTTACTAATGATGGGTATTAGTTAATAGGGGAATCTAGGACACATCTTTTGTCCTACTTGCGACTCATCAGCTGGATGCACCTATCTCCCATTGAATGACATTGTTTCCACCAGGACTCGAACCTTTAACTTATTGCTTCAAAATGTTAGAGTGTTATCCAGTAGGCTAATGAGTCACGATAGCCGCTCCTTGTGCTACCGACATAGTATAATTTTCATGTTATATCTTTCGATTCTTCGTTGGTGATTGAACCAAATCGACTGACTAGTATTGGCATATGGGCACCCATGAGGATGCCTCGATAGTACAGCATAGCAGACAATATGCCACTACTAACTGATCAATTTCGTCTAATCATCAGGGAAGACCCCGAACCTATAATATGAGAACTATTCATTACTTATGGTTGCCTAAGATCAAAAAAACCAAGATTATGAAGAATATATTGGAGACTGACTTCGAACGCTAAACAGCGAACACGGCGTAACACAACTTCGTGTCACTAACTTCAGTGATCCCATTGTAAGGTATATGAATAAAGAAGAACGACTAGACTACTTAGAATCTTAGGATCAATTCATATTTAAATTTCTTGCTGGATATTCAATACGCTTTTCAAAACCGGCTAAAATTTATTCGTTCATTTGTAATATTATAATTAAGAAGCTGGATCGTCATATATTTGATTTTTAATGTACATGGGTAACTATATACTTAGTAGCCTGGTACTGGCAATCTCATTTGGCAACAGTAAAGATCATGGACACATGCAAATTTTAAGCATTTAGGTAACCAACCATAAATTTGTTAAGATAGTTTAGCTGATTAGCAACGATACTGATATGATCTAAACATAAGTCGCTCCAAAAATTGCCTGTAACCATCCAATCGTGGATATCCTGTTTGTAATGAGTCTGATCACAAGTTGACGAGTAACACCTACACCTTTTTTGATAAGAGTATCCGAACTGAAGACGTAAGAAATATTTTGGTCACTTTTAGCCATTATTACACCACTTTTAATCTTCAGAAAATAGTAAATAACGACCGGGTAAACCACTTAAAAGTGAGTAAGGTGTACAGCTGCTTGGTTCTAGAATTGGTTGGCATATATCTGATACTCTTAAGCAGAATATGCTGACGTAGGCAAAATGCAGAAATAACAGTTGTTCTTAGTTGGTTGGAGACAATCAACAGCAAGCCCTGGACCTAAGTTTCGTGCTTTTTGGCACTCGTCAGCAAGGCATATCTGCAACCTCGACGGAACTGATGTCCCGTCTGAGATTCGAACACGCGTCACCAAGTGTTGCAGTCAGCGACTTTACCACTGAGCTAACTTATATCTACTAATGTTCACCGCGATGCTGGTTGCCACATTGCAAATATGATCGATAGGATTCGGTCTACACTCACGACTGGACAACATGAAATTGGTTGCACTCCCATGAACAATCAATGCATAATAGTTGTTCTTTTATGGAAGCTTGCCTCTTAGAGAAGTCCTCGTATCTTTGGACAACGCGAAGCATGTTACGCTAATATGATTTTGTGAATCATGGAGAATATTTGTAACCCAAGTTTTTCACCTCGATTGTATTGTGTTCTCTGAGCTAGATGGCTTGATCATGAAGCCTTCACTGTCTTTCTAGACAACATCATAAGCACTCACTTCAATATGAAGTGAGGTGTCAATATCTCTCCGTGATTGGCTCAATAACTTGTCCTGACGAACTGGTTTTTGATTAGTTGTTTTTTTACTGTTGTGTCCCTAATTTCGCAGATTTCTTGTTGCCTGTTCTTCTGCTTGACATCTGACCTTTCTGTCGTTTTTCATTATTCTTACTGATTGATAGACTGAGTCAGTCTATGTCTATACATCTGTTGATTGCTGACTGACGTGAATATCAAGCTTCTAGGAATTCTCTGACATTTTTTGTCTTTCCTCTGTCCAAAATTTCTACATTGTTGAAATTGGATTCATGTCCATCGTTGTTATCCACGTGCATTGAAATGTATGATGAAATATCATGTGTGAAGTTTAATAGGTAATTGGTATTCATGTAGACGAAGGTGTAGAGGGTGACCACTTTGTCCAATGCAGTGTTGAATGTAGTCATTGCAACTGAACTTTTAAATGATATTCGGTTTGTCGTCTTTGGTTGTCGCATCCTTTGGTCTGCATAATAGTGTTTGTAGAGAATTTGTTGGTTTATGAGCCACATCAATTTCAAGTAGCCTCAGTAATCTTGTCGTGATTTCTGATATATTCTTTATGTATGATAGGACTGTCCGTGAGCCGATTTCGTTGATAACTTTGTAGTTGATGATAAATTGGACAGACATCTTCTAATAAGTTTCCATTAATAGCTGTTCTTCCTTAGGATAGGTATCAATTAATTTTCTTCGTTTCTCTGTGAAGTTGCTGTGTTGCAGTGAGTTCTCCTTCTCCTGGCTAGATTTTGGATGCAACTAATTTTGTGTTTTATTGGGTTGTTGCTTGTGTGCTTGAGGATTTGATCAGTGTATGTTGACTTCTTGTTCCCTTGGGTTTCCAGCTTTCCAGAATTTGTCTTACTGACTAAAACTTCTGGGAATGGCAGTCGGTTGTTCAATTAAGAATCTGATATCATTGAAAACGTTGTTGATCAAACTGCAAGTGTTTCTAAATCATCCTTTTTAATGATGACAAAATTATTGTTCATTTAGTGGATTCAAATTTTTGTCTTCATTATATCTAACCGCTTGTTTCTTGAACACTAAGTGCTAGTAAAACATGTAGAAACTGATACAGGATGTTAAAATATGTTCAGAATACATCTCTGTTAAAGCACTCACAGTACTTTTGTTTTCTGTCGTTGATTTTCAAGGAACTATGCAACCGGAAACTAACAAGTGGAGCTAAGTTAAAACCTGCAAGTCTAGATGATTAGCAGTAAATATTTTCTAGTGTTATCAGACTTTATAATGGTCTCCAGACAATCGAAATTTCATGGTGGTCAATTAGAAAAGCAGTATTTTACCTATCTGCAGAATAGTTGTTTGAGTAAATTTTCATCCTTCACTATTTCATCGAATAATAAATTCCATTTCCACCTATTTGTCGCTTCACTCGGCAACCAGATGTACTTTGGTGTGCTCTTCGACGAGTTTTAGTTGGTTGATCAAATCCTTAGCTCAGAGAACAACCCATTTTGCTTATCAACACTTTGAGCCACAAATATTCTTCACAACTTACGGTTGAAAGTATAACTTATGAAAGAAGTCTTGGTAGAAAGATAGGGCGGTCAACGTCCAATAAACCATTCTGTCAAATTTCAGTATTTCGCAGCGCTTCACCTCTTAAAAATCTGAAGTACTACAAATCACTACAGCTTAGTTACAAAAGTGAAAAGTCAATTCAGTAAAAATATGATTTACCTTCTTCCTTAGAATTACTTCATCTTCGTTATCAATATCTGAGTAATTGGCATAATTCTGAAAATTTCGATCAGTATTTAATTTTGTGAATCAAACGTTACCTCTGGGTGAATGATGTCCTGGTCATCTTCATCCTGTCGGTTCATAAAAAAATACCAATCGAGTTATTTTAGTGAATTTGGTTATACTACTGTTTCATTTTTAAGTAGACAACGTAGTTAAGTGTTTTAATTCATCTATTGAAAGTGCGGCACACTCTCAAGTAAAATTCACTAAGTGTAAAGATACATAAAAGAGCGAAGGTTTGGTGATTGAAGTAGAGATCGAACTGGTTAGATAGTTCAATACTCAAAATATAGTTGTGGAATGCTGTGAATACACTGTGGTACATGTTCAGGCATTGTGTAAATTATCATAATTAACATTCAGGCAATATCGAGGCATCCGCATAGGAGCCTATACGCCTAATTAGGTAGAAAAATACTAATTACAAGCATATTCACAAATAGTGATGACTATTACCCGTCGTACAAAAGGTGACCAACGTATCTCCATGGCCTAATGGATAACGCCTAGGCGTTTGAAGCTATGAGTACGAGTTTCGATTCTCGGTGTGAACAACACCACTGTGAATTGGGATACAGATACATCCAGCTGACGAGTCTCAGATAGGACTGGATGCGTGTTCTTGATTCTTCCGCTAGCAACAACTAAGTAAGTTAACATTATGTTATAGGTCATGGGTACACTGAAACACAGTCCCGGACTGAAGTGAGACAGATATCTCTAACTGATATTATTCTACGATGGAAACGAGTCAGTAGTGCACATACATGACCGTGCCAAGGACTGAACCCTGAACCTTCAGGTTTCGTGTTGAACGCGCTACCATAAAGCCACTGGTTTGGATTCCAGTGGTTCATATTTTTCTAGCTCTGTTCATTCGTGATATAGTATGACCTTCATCCAATGTCATCGGTGAGTATTCGTTTCACATTTGATTTAATTTTCTCCACAAATGACAACTTCTTATTAGAACTTCAAGCTTTGTCCAGGTCATGGTGCTTCATGCTAAGGAGTTGCATACTAGGATGAACAGGCTGTTCAATGCTGCCAGTTTTTCAATACTTCTGTAACTGATATCAGCCAGTGAAAAATCAGCGAATCCCGAAAACTCCCCATTCGAACTTCGTGTCTGTTTGTGATTCTGAAGTTCTACGAACTGGCGAGTCAGTCAATTCTGGTACAAACGTATATATTAGCCAGTGCTATGGTATGTTAACCATGCTAAATTGGTAATTAACAGAAATGGGAAAATACAGACTATTAGAGTCCAAGCCAACGCCTGATCCACCACTTTCTAGCTACCAGACCCAGTATTGTTGAGCTTTATTCTTACGAAATTATGAGTTCATATTACTTGAGGGTCTCGAAATAGGCCAACAACGTGGTAAACTGCTTTCTGATCATATAAAATCAATCTTATTGCTTGTATTACACCGTCTTTGATTGGATCGAATTGATCGGTCTCTATTGGCATCTGCACAGGATCCCATATGTCAATAGAGACCGAAAAATTCGGTCCAATCAACGACGGTATAATACAAGCAATAGCTCTAAAACTATACCCGTCCCACAAGAAGTGGCTATCGTGGCTCGGTGATCTGATGGATAACGTTCTGGCGTTTGAAGCAATCGCTCCCGAGTCTAAATCCCAGTGGGAACAAAATCACTCATTGGGAGGCAAGTACATCCAGCTGACGAAATGCGCATCTTAGATTCCACAGCATTCAGCCATTATCCATCTTTACCATGTAAAATTAGTCGTGTTATTGATCAAAAGCAAAATATTCAACTAACTTTCATTAATTTGAGAAGGATTAGTTGATTAAGATGGAAGGTAAGAAAGATATAGGTTAGCAAAAATTACAGAAACTTGATATTATTAAGACTATTCAAAGTTTCACTATTTATAAAGTGATACAATGATGTTTGTTAGTTGGGAGCTTTCACCAAGAAACCTGGTTTGATCTAGATTTCATGCCTTTTGGCAATTGTTAGCAAGGCACATCTGTGATCTGTAGAGAACTAATGTCCCCTCTGAGAATGAAACTCATAACACCCAATGTTGTAGTCAGCAGTGTTGCCACAGAGCTATTCCGATCGCCATCTGCCTTCTGTTAGACTGGATTAGATACATTGATTAGTCACTGGAGAACAACCAATTCCAAGTTGTTTAGTCCTGAATAATAACGCAACTCAGTAAGTCATTTCGTAACGTGGACACCAAGCTAGTAGACATGCCGTCGCTCTGCACACTGATGGATAATCGACAGAATTTGGTCAAAGTTTAGGACTATATAAGACGAAACTGCAGTCTACCTGAAGGTTAACAACAGAGTTCAGGATATGCTTTTCACCCCATCTGGGGCTCGCCAGCTGGATGTGCCTGCACCCCAATGAGTGATGTTGCTCCCACCGGGGCTGGACGCAGCATCCACTGTTCACTATGACCGATTTCTAGTGTTCGAATTTGTGCTTAGTGTCCAGTAAATCCCGAAGTGTTTTGCTGCGAAAACGTATGGACTTTTAACCTCATTCTCTTTAGGATATGTTCAGGAATGATCATGATATTTTCTAATTTTATAAGAACTTTAGGACGTATATATGAATGGATGAATACAGTCGAAAATAACACGAAATGAGAAATCTATCCACTTTCGATCGTCTCAATCAGCAATTAGTGTGGTAGAAACAGACTAAGTTGGCGTTTGAATTGATTCTTTTTCAGAATCCACAAAATGCATGGATGGTACTTTTTGTAAGGTAGGTAAGGAGGATCTCTGAAATACATATATGTTAATCCTACTACTTTTATGTTTCTTGTTTTATTTCAACGTCATGATCAAAATATGATTTTACTGCCAGTTTCAACCTGTGATGAAAACTTCGATGGAATCAACTTGTTCTTCAGACACCACTAAACTGAATCATAAGAAATTGCCGAAGCTGTCAGTGAATGGGATGAAAATACATAATTTATTTGTGGCCCCTGTTTTTGCAGTTTCTGTGGCTTGACTGTTAGTGAAGTAATATCATATGTCTCTTGGTCGACACTGAACTCATTGCAAATGGTGTCAGAACTTTCAATATTGTAGGTTGCTTATCGATCAAGTTCAGAAAATCAGTCAGCCATTTCTGTTTGGAATCAGTTATTTCAACTTTATGAATTAAAGTGCGTTGTAGACATATAATTTAATAGTATGTATGTATCACTCAAATTTCACAAAACACAAGAACAGTTAACAGTATATCTTTGTCTCTTGTCGTAGGAAGGAGAAGAAAAAAGACTGACAGTTAAAGAGTTTCAAGGATATTGATGGATCACTGGTGAGTTACAGATTTCATGTTGTCTAGTCCTGAGGGATGACCGAATTGTACCGAACATTTTAAAATATGGCGGATAAGCTAGGCGACTTACTATCTTGGTACACTTTCAATTGTCTTGTCTTGTGTTCTGTTCAGTTAGTAACTCAAACGGGTAGGCAAAGCTTAGCAAGTGCAGCGATATTCAAACAGTGATACGTGCAGACACTGAGATCGATGTAACTGGGTCACGTTTGTGTACATTTTACAGCCATCAGTTCAAGTACGTGATGTCAAGTCACATCAGTTTATTTGGTGTTATGACACCACTTGTTTAAATAAACCGTGAGGAATTATCACTATAATTAGGAGGAAACGACATTACTGATAAGTTATTGGTTATAGGTTCTTATAGCTTTTGTTATGTTTACATTTGACTGTCTTTATGATCATTGTCTATTGCCAGAAAGGTGGGGTTTTTTGTCGTTAGCGTAGAGCAGATACCGAGTCACAAAATCATAGGCTTATGTATACTAATTGTTCAAAGATGAATCTGCTGACTCGCTAACTGCTGTCACCTTGAGAAGCAATGAAAACTAAACTGTAGTAAACAATTATTTCTTTATATTTTCATATTTTCTTTCTAGTTACATTTATGATGCAGTGACAGATAGAGAAGAGAAATTGTAGATCTCTTGGTGATCACGTTGCATTCCGGGTAATGTGTTGTGTTTTTTGTCAAATAGTGTATCCACACTCGAATTCTATTGGTATTTGATGTGAATAAGATGTCATATACTGCAAATAATTCAAGCTAGAAGAAAACTGGATCATTGAAATACTACGTGGTTGGTGTGGGGTCTTCTGAGAAATTGTAGGGATCCATCACCAAATAGGTCGAATCTGTATCAAAATAGCTGTTTTAGTATATTTCAGGTTTCCACTGGTTTTGCGGCTGATGTTAACTCCCAATTGCTTGTTCTCTTTACAGCAATCAGTTCCTCAGAAACCAATAAAAATCCCATATTACCAAAAACCTGGTGTGTTTCTAATATGAATTCAGCTGATTAAGGGGGATTTTCGTGCATGCTTAAAGTTATCACTGACTATAGGTTCAAGGTGTTCTACACTACTAACTAGTCGTGAAGTTTCATAGGTTTCTTTCATTTTATTTTATATTTTCAGCCCCACTAGTAATCTTTGGTAAAATTAAAATGTCTTTCTAAAAGACTGTTCAAATTATTATTCATCACTGAGAACCTATGAACACTGGATAACTGTTCTGTCATCAAAAGTGACAGCTCAAAAGTGCGTACTCACAACCACAGACAATAGGTTTCGTGACGACCACGTCACAACTGAATCAATGGGTCATAACTCAGTCGTCTATATTTGCTTACTTCTGTCAATTCGCCGTATAGCGTAACCTTCTTCCTATGTCATCGCTGATCATTTATCTCATGTCTGACTTCATTTGTGCTTTAGTAACTTGCTTTGAGGTGAGATTTCCGATGTTCACTGGTGGGATAAGCCAAGTCAAACATGAGGACAAATGCTCAAAGTTATATCAGATGAAGGTAGTGGAATATCATGAATTTACAAAAGGAGGAGAATTATGGACTATTGGATCTCGACCCACTAGTTCAGTGGTGACTTGTTCTCCATGAAAGCTAAAGGATGACTGGTTGGTCTGTAGCAGGATTATGGGGGCGGACTACTAAGCTGTTCCATATTAGAATGGGAAAGATGTCCAGTGCTCCCAGATTTTCATTGATTCTCCAACTGATTTCAATCCCTTGTGAACTTGAAATCGACCAATCCTTACAAACCTTCAAATTGTATCTCAAAAAGTTTTGATTATCATCATAGACGAGTACAATAAAAAAAATCGAATTTTCTCGCTTACCTCTTCACTTTCTGAATCCTCCTTTGATTTAATTGCTTTGTACAAATTCTTGATGATGACGGTAATAGAAATGAGGTGGATATCGAAAGATAAGGAAGAATGCGCATAGCAGTCATGAATAGGGCAAGTGATAAACCCACCATATATGGTTGAACATATAATATGGCCAATTCAAAAATAACTAAGGTGAAAAATGATAGAAATGGTCTTTCCCAAGAGCAAAGTGCTTTTATTACTTGTCGGCATCTCTTGAAATCATCTATGAATGGTGTTAGACGATCAATATTACGTTGAATAAGCTGTATGAAGAAATCAAAAGAGAGAGAAATCAGGAACAGAAATTTTAGTAACTGACTGTTTCTTGATGATGTTAGTTTCAATGTCTAAAAGTTAGGGAATTATTCAAGAAAATGATGAGTATATATATGTATCACTATGAAAAAAAAGAAAGAAAGCCCACCTAAAATAGATGAAAGAAATATTCCATAAAGTAGTTCGATTACAAAGACTTGGAGTTATGTTTCATTGGTTTAGACAGCTAACTTTAAATCACCGGAGCACAGGTTCAAACTCCTTTCCACCCACCGAGGTTTCTACAGTCAGGTAGCATCATTAATCCTTATACAACAGATGTGCATAAGGTTGTTTAGTACACTTCGATTCGGTACTACTTTCCACCAAACAAGCTCATTCTAAGAGCAACACAAATGTGTTGCTGTTCGCAATTGAAGAGGTTAATTCAATACATTTATGAATTATCAACTATTTATAATAGCGGTTGTGTACTTGGTGAACACATTCTGCTTATTGAATGGCTTTGGTTGTTTCTGCTTTTTGTGGCTAACCTACAGTCATTCAAGAATAAGTTTTATGCTGACGATTATTTTTGGTCATCTATCTTAGCTAGTTATAGAAACCGTGTTGACATACAAGAATTAAGTTTTCCAAACGCCCAATGGTGAAACCGAAAGTAGAAGATTTGCCTAAACCGATCTCTTCCTCTTGTGTATATATCAGTTCGAATTCTACTGTGAAACTATTAACATTGGTTGCTGCTCTAGAAATTTGATTTTTCGGGCTCCTGAACACCTTCGTGGTTAAGCAGAATGTAGGATGAAGACCATTAACAGCTCCAAAGTAGCACATCTGGTTCGAAAAAAAGATAAGGTAGATATAATTACGTCGCTTTTCATTCATTACCGGGTTACCATCAACTTACCGAAGGCACCCAGCTCCAAAATTTTCAGACTCCAGAAATAATGGCAATCAGGTTGAAACAACCTCAGTTATGTGTTTTCAGAAAAAACAGGTGTTGTCATTACAACTGTCTCAGCCTCCTTCGGAATTTACGTAACTTAATTTTCTATCTTCACACTGTAGATACTACTCATCCCTACTACCTGAAATCATGTGATCACATTCTCACAACCAAATTTACTCCCCTTAAGTAAAATTCTGGCAAGCTATTGTTCCTCAAATTATCTTTGTCTATTATATACAACTTACATGTAAACCTTTCAAATGTTGTACTGAATTATCATCTTATGAGCCGTATATTCGTTTAGATAATTAGTTGTTTCGAATTGAATCCCAGTAATAACTGATTCTGACATTAGGGTTCACACAAAGACGTTTTTGAAGAGAATCCTTCAACTGTATCATATTATTAACAAACTGTTCAAGAGAATCTTACTATTGTTGATGCAAAATTACACAATATCTGCATATAACTGTAGTGACTTCAGAAGAAGTTATCCAAAAGAATATTCTTTATCCGTTCAAATGGTTTTTGAAGTGTGCATCATATACACCTAACTTCTTGATACGTCTTAAGAATATGATTATTAGTATCAATTATAGAGTATAAGAATGCCATAATGATCCTTCATAGTTAAACCGGTAGTCTCAGAATTGTCTTTGACATTTTCAATTGTCACCTCTCTGAAACTTCTGAGGTGAGTAGATGTTTTAAAGTAGGATGGGATTTAGGCATTTTGGTAGACGCCAATTCCAATTCAATTTGTTTGTTAGTTGTAGTACATAAATAAACACTGCTACTCACTGTTGATGTTTCGAGCAGAATTTATTATTGATAATCATATTAAGGTAACCACACAAAGTTTTGATCTTGTTTTAATAGTTCAACTAATCTCCATTATTCGATAGAAATGTTTTCCATATATCCGGAACTTATAATTATACTAACCCTATCGCATATATCAGATATTAATTCGATAAAAAAGGCTTCAACTATTATTATTTATGACTTGCTTACTTTGTTCTTCAAATTTCACCTCTATCCTCTTGTGTGATCGTGTGGGACAGCAAGCAGATGTATGACTGCGCTGTTTGCTACATTTCTCATTTTGTAGCAGTATTCCGGCTCACATTTATTGAGGTTTTTATGTTCCAGTAGAGTTCAGATGACCATTTAGGCTTGTGTAATTGAACTCGTAGTTATTGCAGTTGGTCGATATTCTTATAATTACTACTATTATTAAGGAAATCTTTGGTGAATCATGACTAGGCGGTATATGTAGATATGGGTGTAATCGATCTTTGCTCTGGTTTGATTTCCCGCTGTGTTCTGATAACAAATGTAAAGAAGATTGTAGGTGTGTATGGCCTGTTTGAATCATAACCTAAGACCGAATTGGTAGTAGCCTGAATCGTAGACATCCTAATTAAGTTGTAGTCAAACTTCCTATATAACTGAATTACTCTGTAATTTTCGCTACCCATCGAATTAGGTTTATGAATGTGAAGCAAGTAAGGTGGCGTGCATATTTTAGGTAACAAAACGAACTGAAAAATAAGCTCGTTCCTATTCTCTAACAGAATTCAACTTCACCTTAGTCGGTGAATTATAGGCGACAATAATTTGTTAGTTAGTGAAATAGTCAGTGGATCATACATCTTTAGGCAAATTCGACTACCTACTATAGGACGATCAACCACTTATCCCATAATCGATTCCAGCTTCAACCAGTGGATTTAACACTTAGCTGAATCATATATATATCAATGGAAGTCGGCCTTATAAACTGCCTAAATGATATCTAAGATGAAATGTTTATGGGGTTGAGATCGAAGCACACTGAAAGCTTCTTTCAGCATATAAATTTGGTAGTCAACGCAATCTAATCCACATATGAGTTAGAAAAGGATGAAGGGAAATTAGAAATGTTAGATTGCAGAATAAAACGATAACAAGAAGGAAGTTTAGATATTAGTGGCTATAGGAAAACCTTCACACTTGAACCGTCCCACCCTATCTTAGCTGAAGTTGACTTGGTAAAATGTTTAAGTAACAGGACCGAGAAACTTTCTGGTAAGACAGAAAATTTAAGACAGAAATCAGATACAATAAAGACACCTTACTCGTCTATAGTTACCGTTGTAAGTTAGTTGGTAAATTCCTTTGTAATTGTAAGAAAAGTATGACTAATGATGGTAACACGTGTTAGTAGTAATAATAATGGTCACGGCAACACTATTTTACCATACACGGCAGGCGTATCAGAGACATTCCGTAGGACTCTCAGTAAGGTTGGGATCAGAGTCGCATTCAAACCTACAAACTCAATTAAAGACAAGCTTTGTAGATTGAAAGGTCCTGTTGATCCAGATAGTCAAAATAATTTAGTGTAACAAATTCCTTGCAATGCCTGAGAGTTCAAACATGGAGGTCAAAGAAATCAACCTGGGTCATTTAGGCTGTCCCCGAACAAATCCTGTCTAGGGCAAGATTGATAAGTCTTAGTAAGACAAAGAATCAATAGAAAAGTTCGCTTATAGCTATGCATGGCATGACGCGTAGCCATACAATAGGACCGAACGGAGTGACAGTGTTGAAATCTTAGTTGAGGTGAAGGGAAAGATTGATAACCGAATCCTTATTTGTGGAGTCAACCTGACATGCATCAAATATTAATCAATTCACACCTGATCTTGATGTATGAAAATACCTAGTACTTATGTCACAAATGAAGGCGATAAAATTAAAACTATATAAACCATATCTGAAAGCTGTGGAGCTATCTTGCAATTACTATGGACAATAAATTGTGTTTGGAACGTAATCCAGTCAATGAAACTGCATAACTGTGTGACATACGCAATAAATCAACTAAAATAGAATTAAATCCTATCACAGTCTCGAAGGTTTGCTTTTTTCTTATGAACGATGTTCAGAAACAACAGGTGAACAGTATGAAATCCAATAGGAAAAGACTAGAGCTGAGTCTTAAAAAGGACTGGTAGATACAAGACAGTATTTATTTCGACAAAACAATAAGAAGACGTAAATTGTCTGAACCGTGTAATGTATTTGCGCAACACATTTCGAACTATCTGATCACACACATACTTGCTCAAATACATTACACGGTTCAGACAATTTACGCCTTTTTATTGTTTTGTCGAAGTTTATAAAGGGAACAGTATTTATTAGCAAAAACCATCAATTCATGTTCTAGAAAAATTTAAAATGAGTGAATACCGTTGGTGAGTGCGAAAATAAGCATTAACATAATTTTGTACATAATAATAATAATATCCGTAATAATGGTCATACAAATAGAACAGTCAGAAAGAACTTACGGGTAAATGCTTCTTTGTTAAATCCTATAAAGTGATCAAGATAAGAATTAAGTCACTGTTTTCCATAGCTTTACAAAAATATGTATCTTATTTTTAACTAACTACTTGAAATGCACAAATTTTTACAACGGTATACTGCTGAATAAAGTGAGTAGTATATGATGAAGTAGTTTTATTTTTGGAGTTTTAACATAATCACTGTCGAAAGAATGTCACTTAATTTCTACAGTATAACCTACATGAAACTTCAAAGTATTGAATTTTTCGTTGGTCTGACTGACTCACTGGCTGAATAATATACACCAAGGAATTTCATCAAGGTAACCATTAAGTTTGTTTGTTGCATACAATTCATAAAAAAAGCACATTCAAGCAATATAACTTTAGACAACTTCAATATGAATGATCTAAGCTATTGAGCCGGACATTTTATTAGTGAGAAAAAGTAGATGATGAATGACCTAATGGCTATCAGTGGAATTCAGGTTGCACGTTTCGTCATATTTCGGACTTAAAAGCTGGATGTACCTGTACCACAGTGAGTGACGGTGTTATTACTGAGACTCAAGACCAATACCCAACACTTCAAATGTCAAAGCATTACCTAATAGGCGACTGAAGCATGACAGTCAACTCTTGTAAAGTAGGATGAATTATAATTCATGTCGAAATGGCATTTTTTCAAACGTATTTGTAACTAGATATTGACAGTGGGTGAGGAAGTATCACATACTTCGGAGCATTCAATACACTTACAGCAACTGACAAAATCTCAAACACGGTCAGTCAAAAGTCAGAACTTGTAATCGGTAACACATTTACAGTTAAGAAATTACTACATATTTATGAAACTAAGTGTTGAGTGATGCCAACCATAATAGACGTCACAAACATCCGCATTTACCAGTTTAAATATATGTGCTAAGCTAGATACACTAGAAAGATAGAGATAGACATCCACATGCTTTGCTGAACATATTCCAAGAAAACTGAACCTAAGTTGGCTGAACGGTATCAGCAGATCGATAGTACACCATTTACTGGATACAGGACATAATATGACGGTTTAAGATGCATAAAAAGCAATAAATAAACAATGCAATAGTATCTGGCTTTGCTTCTGAGAGGCCACTGCAACCAGAAGTTGTAAATCTAACCTTTGTATTCACATTTGGCACTGTAACAATGAATACAGTCCAGCCTGCGTTTTTCTGTGTTTTAAGTATTACTTGGAATTACAGCTCATTAAGTAAGACCCAATTTTTATCTTCCATTCCTTTTAGAAAACATATTTCCGTTGGAAAGTGGCAGCACTGGAATCCAGGATGAGTGATTTGTCCCATTTGCGGCTCGTCAGCTGGAGTACCAGTCATTTATTTGTTATGGATAGATGATTGCGTTACGGACACTATTCTATGTCATTTCAATTAGATACAAAACTGTCAAAAAACACCTATCTGGTCTGACAATATGGGCTTCCGAATAATTTTATCATCCCTTCAAAACCACTTCTTGTCCAGTTTCGAAGTATGTCGATATTTGCGTCAGAAATTTTAATTTGGTAGCCTATACCCAGCTGAGAAGGAGGAGAAAAAATTTTATTGGATCCATCGTATTCCGCAAGTGTTCGATGAGTTATACCTGTCTGTCTTGGCACCTCAACTTCGGTTGTAACAAAGTTCCTATATACCACACCTTTTCTGTCCGATTAATACTTCCTCTGCTTTTGAGTTACTTTAATCACCACCCTAGCAACTGCTGAAATAATCAATCAGGATACGGTATTTGACCTAAAAAGGTAGTTTTTCGTAAACTAACGAAAATAATTAGTTATCTCAAAAGTTATTAGGGTGGCATTTGAGGTCATTCTTATTTGTGAGTGACTCTTAATCACCACCCTAGAAATGTATGAAATAGCCACTTAGATTTTGCATTCCCGTTGGAAAGAAAGATTTTCATAAAAGTTGGTTATTTCACACCTTTTAGGGTGAGCTTTACAGCCATTCGTATTTGTTCAGTCTTATTTATCTATTCCTGTCTGTCCTGTTTTGCACTTGTAACCGTCATTCTGATTGGTTGTCGGGTTGACTGACCTTGTATAAAGACTTTTGTTCGCCCAACCTGCTTGTTAGAGGAGTGAACTCCCGATTCTGACTGCACCTTAGTGAGTGATTATTTTTTTTAGATTATGATGTCGTCTCAGCGATTGTAGCCTCGGCAGCACCACAGTTGAAGATATTGATTGTTATTATTTCGATCATAATCATTGCACACAGTAACATCCTATTATTAAAACCTCTTGACTTTCGGGGTCCTTGAGTCACTTTAGCTGAGGTCTAGCAACAACCAAATTAGATTTAACAGCGGACTTGCTCCTTCTCTCTTTATTTAAACAACTTGATAAAACCACATGTATGGAAACTTGATTAAGATGTTGGTAGATTTTATAGCTGTTATCATAAGTAGTGTGTATCAGCAGACATGAGGAAGTTTTTACTTTCTTCGAGATTAGATAAGAAGAAATTTTTGCACTAGCTAGCGTTTAATACGATCAATACGAAAAAAGATTGGGTTTCATACTTCCAACCATAGACTACTTAACTTACTCGAAGTTTCACTTTGGAGTCTTCGACATAATAGCGTTTTTCTTTTGGATAGATAGCACGTAAAGAAGCTCTAAGCTGGAGAAAAAAGATGTAAAGAAACGAAAATCTATTAATGCGAAGTAGAATGTTGGTAACCTTCATGTGTTTGGTAGTTGAGTAGATAATCATGATGCTAACAATAAGATAGAATACACCATTGAACCTCTGAAATTATTCTCCATCCAATGGTATGAATAACTACCTACCGCCACTAATAGAAACAGTACTTGAACACAGAATTAAATAATTCGATTCAGCGGTAAGCAGACAGACAATGGCCATTATAGCACAGAAGTTTAGTGTGCAAACAATAGGATTTGATATATTTTTAAAGAGTTACTAGCCGGTCTTAAGCCCGGGTAAACAGGGAAGGTTGGGCATAGGGCTAGCAACCCCACCGCGGAAAACCAATCTAACCAGTTAAAGAAACTTACAAACACAAAGTAAATATAAAAAATAAAATTAAACTTATTCCTCACTGGAATCGGAGAGGCGAAATAATGCCAGTTGGTGAAAGCCTTCGAGAAGCAAAAGTAAGGATGGGGACATGGAATGTCCGAACAATGTTTGAACTTAGCAAGGCTACCCAAATTGCAAAAGAGATGAGAAGGCATAGCATTGAAGTGCTAGGAATTTGAGAGAGCCTATGGAATGGAAGTGGACTCTCTACACTGTCAACTGCAGAGTCAATAATCTACTCCGATGTTGTCACACTGAGTTTTGGAGCGGCTATCATGATGTCCTCAACAGCATCGAAGGCTCTCTCTCATGCAGTGGGAACCAATCTCCTTCACGATCATGACAGCAAGGTCCAACTCAAGACGAAAGAAAGTCACAGTCACACAGTGCTGCGCTACACGCCTACATATAATGCAGGTGAAGAGAAGAAGGAGGAATTCTACAGATAACTGCAATGAGTCAGTACTGGACAAGACCTCACCCCCAGTTGGCGACATCAAAACTCAGATGGTTGAGATGACATGAATGCCAAACTGGGAGAGGACAATACAAGAAGAAAACTCACTGTGGGTCGAGAAGCAGTTGGTGAAATGATGAATGAGAATGGAAAACTGTTCGCAGGTTTCTGAGTATTCAACGATTTGGTGATTGGAGGCAGTGTGTGCAAAAACTTAAAGATATTCACAAAGCGACATAGACCTCATCAGACACCAGGACACACTAAAAATCAGACCAACTTCATCACAATCAGGAGAAAGTGGAGACGCACCCTACTAGACACGAGATCAAGAAGGGGAGCAGGTGTAAGTTTGCACCACTCTAGTGCAAGGAACCTACCTTCAGAATCAAGCTGAAAGCCTTCAAGGAAGTTGGTGATAGACCACAGTTCAGGTTCAGCACCCAGAACAGAAATTGAAGAACGAAACTGCAAAGGACATCCTCACTTCGGCCACTAGAACAAAATGGGAGATATTGAGCAACATCTTTGAAGAAACCTGTGTTAATGAACACTGTAACTCTTTGAAGAGAGGTGGAAGGGAATCTGTATAACCACGTTAGGAAGGAAGAAGAAACAAGACAAGACAGGAAATGGATCTCGACGAACACATGGAAGCCGACAGAGGAGGGAGAGGAAGATGGTGAAGCAGAAGATGAATCAGTACAAGGATGCACAAAGAAGATAAGAACTGAGTACAACGTATAAAACACTGGACAAAGAAGTAGAGAAAGTGCGTGGAAAGACAAAAGACACTTCTACCACACATTTGTAAGTGAAGCAGAGCAGGTTGCTGGCAGGAGAGATCTGACATCATATAGAATAAAAAGTTAATTATCTGGGAAGAGATCAACACAGCACAGATAGAACCAGTGAAAGATATTGAAGGGAACTTCGTTTCCGCCGGTGAGAGGAGAAACAAAGGAAACAGTGGGCTGAACACTTCAAAAAGCTCTTGAATCGACCACCATTACCTGCAACTCGTTCACAAATATCACCAGCAGCCCAGCCACAAAACTATCAGCTAACAGAATCCCTCCGACAAAAGAGAAGTCCTGAACGCCATAAAACCGCTGAAATCAAGGAAAGCACTAGGACCAGATGGAATTCCTGTAGAAGCACTGAAAACAACTCAGAGACAACAGCGGACATGCTGACACCACTACTGCAGAAAGTTTGCAAGGATGGAAAGGTACCTGCAGACTGGAAGAAGGGCTCCCATGTTAAACTTCCAAAGAAGTGTGACCTAAGTCTTTGCAAGAACTGTCTCAGAGTCGCGTTGTTGTCCACCCCAGGAAAAATATTATGCCACATCATCCTGGAGAGACTAAAACATGCGCTGGATTCAAAACTACGACCGGAACAGGCTGGTTTCAGGAAGAACAATTCATGTGTGGATGAAATTGCAACGCTACGCTACCCTTCATCAAAGAACTGAGCATAGAATGGCAGAATGGCAACTCTCAACCTCAACTTCATCGATTTTGAAAAGGCCTTCGACAGCGTCGCCCGAGAAGTAATTTGGCAGGCAGCTGCTTAAACACCGCGGTATTAGTGCCACAAATCTTTATCAACCTCATTCAACAGCTATATGAAGATGCCACCTGCTAAGTGATCCACAGTGGAAAGCTCAGTGATGCCTTTGAAGTGAAGACAGGAGTAAGACAAGGCTATCTAGTATCACCGGCGATCTTTCTGATTATGGTTGGCTGGATCACACAGCAAACAATGAGGAGCGGGAAGATGGGTATATGCTGGCTGTACCGATGAGAAGACACTAGGAGACTTGGATTTCACTGATGATCATTTATGTCTAATGTCACACAAAGTCAAAGATCTACAGGCAAAACCCAACAAGTTGACAGAAGAGGCAGGACAGCGAAAACGGGACTTCAAGTGGACGCAAAGAAGACATAGATGGTGAAGATACCCAACCAACAACAGAATCAACAACAAGCACCAACCATTATTAAAAGGAGAAACCTATAGGAAGTAGTCTCTTTCACCTACGCCCACTTAAGCAGCATCGTTTCAACTACAGGCGGCGCAGGTACAGATGAGGATTTCAAAACCAGGATTGGAAAGTCAGCAAGGCAAGCCTTTATTAATCTGAAACCAGTGTATAGATCAACTGCACTCAACACAAAGAGTGAACGAGATCCGGATTTTCAACACCACTCCAGTCAAGTCATTGCTTCTGTATGGCTCAGAAACTTGGCGTGTCACGAAAAGCACTTCCAACAAACTACGGTCAATGGTCAACAGCTGCCGCCTACGCTCACTCGATACTGACACTGAAGATCAGATGGCCAGAATAATAAGAATAAGCAACAAGGAACTGTGGCTGACTGGCAGCAAACCAACCAAGAACCCATCGCCCAACAAATATGCAGAAACCAAAAGTGCAGATGGATTCGGCATACACTGAGAAGGTCAATTGGGGACATCACGCTCCAAGCCAGGACCTCAGGTGGAACCTGAAGTGTAAACTACGAGTTGGGCGTCTGAGATGAGGGTGACATGGAGGAGATTATGTGAGGAAGAAATTAAAGCTTGTGGGCGAAGGTGGAGCCAGGTTCAAAAGACTGCGGAGAAGAGAGTGAAATGACGACATGCTACTGAAGCCGTATATTCCACTAGGAACCCACTGGACAAATAATAACAATAATTCGGTTGTTTAATTATGCCGCATGAGATCAAACTTAAAAATACTTTCTCTTTGGAACAGGGAATCAATCACTGTTGAAGTCCATGTCATGTGTATCTCACTTGATACCTGACAGTCAGTAGTGGAATTTTTATACAGTCAGTTACATTACGTATTCCGATTTCAATTTCATTGATAAAAGAATGATTCTAAGATTATATGTCCATGTTGATCAAAATGGAATAGTCAGTTTCCAGGTCTACCGTTTCAGTATCTATCAAGTCAGTAGTGAAAGTCAGCTATGTAGATGTCTCAATATTGTCTGAATATTTATTGTTGCAACTGACTTGGTTGTGGCTAGCAGTATAATTCAGGATGCTCGTTTCATCTTATTCGGGACTTTTCTGCTGGATGCACTTGTGCAGCAGTGAGTGATGATGATGTTCCTCCTGGGCCTCCAACCTCAAACATATCGCTTTAAAAGCCAAAGCTTTATCCAGTAAGCCGTTGCTAGGGACAACTAAGTCATTTATAACAACAATAAATATTCAGACAGTATCGAGGCCTCCGCTAGAAGCCTATATGCTAATAGAGGTCAAACCGTTCGATCCAATAAAAAAACGTAGAAATACAAGCATATCAACAAACAGTAATAACTAACATCTGTTGTAAAAAAAAGTGGCTATCGTGACTCATTGACCTAGCGGATGACGCTGTGGCATTTTAAGCGATGAGTGGTTACGAGATTCGAACTTCAACGGAACAGCATCACTCCGCTTTGAGGTGCAAGTACATCCGGCTGACGAGTGCCCAATAGGGTAAAATGTGCGTCCTGGATTCTTTTACCTAGTGATAAACATGTCACTGAAATTATGCTAAGGTACATAAAACCTAATATTCCATTCATTTAACCATCTTGTTCAATAAGGAGAATGGTTCATTACTTTATAATCTTTCTTCATATCCCTCTGTAAATGGCTTTACGTTATATTAAACTTCCTACTGCTGTACAACCTGTATTAATGATTTGAACTCTAAAAAACACACTAAGTATCAAAAGTTTAATCGTCTACAGCTTTTTTCAAATCGAACAACAAGCCTCACTAAACAAAATTCTGGTAGTGAAGGCTATGGATATATACTATATCTATGACACGCAGACAGGAGCTATGTGTGGTTATTTACTTAGCCTCACTCGGTCTTTGAGATGAGTCAGCAAAATTTATTCTTAGAGTTTATGGAGAATGCTCAGCTTTTTCGTGTTGTCTTATTGGTGCAGGTATGAGATCAGATCTCATGTGGATACTGACTAACTGTCTAGTTGAGTGTGAGAAGAAATAGCAGATGACAGTAGTTGTAATGGTGACTTTTTGAAGGTCTGTAGTGATTCAGTTTGGAGATTTGTAAGGAATGACTGATTTAAAGGGAATACTTATCACCAACTGACATCACTTCTCAGGTTTTCGATGGTTTTCCAAATATTGTTTATAATAATCCCCTAAATGTTTGAGATATAGTGATGCATTGTTGGGATTGCCTGTCGCAAGGAAACATTGTCAGACCTATGGCAGAGTGAAGTTTTCGGAGCTCTTCGCTTTCGTTTGCATGAACACCAATTAAGTACTAAAAGCCAGAACATTTCATCGCTTATACCAATACACGTGGATGATTATTGACATGAATTCAATTTTGACAATGTAGAAATCTTGAACTGGGTAAGTACGTAAAATATCAGAGAATTCCGGAAAGCTCAGCATTCAGACCAATCAGTTGAGACATAGACCCAATCTATCAACCAATGAGAAAAATGATGAACAGCAGAAAGTTCAGATATCAAGCAGAGGAACAACCAACAGGAAAAATCTATACAGTCAGTGACACAACAATCAAAGGAAACAACCAATCCCAAGCCACTTCGTCAGAACTAGCTACTGCATTACTCATGGAGAGATATTGACAGCTCACTTCATACTGAAGTTAGTGCTGATGATGTTGATAAGAAAGACAACGAAGGCTTCACGACTTAACCATTCAGACCAGGGAACACAACATAACCAAGACTTTTCAACAACACAAAGATATTTATGCACCCAGCCTAACAAAAGTATTTAAGCATACAAAGAATCACATCATTCGAGTGTATACAGTAGGAATTCGCAGATAAATGTAAAAACTAAATGAACAAAACCGACTATGGTATAATTTGCCAACATCTAACACAGAAAGAATTTCAATTAACTCTGCTTCTCTAATGCAAACGTTTCCACTGTAATTTGACTAACCTAATTGTGACAAACAAATGAAACCTTATTTGAATGGAGCCAAACGGCAGGAAGCAGGCGGAACATCATTTCCGTCGGGGCTGCAGATACCTCTTGCTGACAAGTGCCAATAAGCACGAAACCTAGGTCCAAAGCTTTCTGAAGATTGCCTTCATCCAACTAACATCTATCAAAGTGCATCGCGATACTGAGCTGCTTAGTCTGGTGGCCGCACTACAAAATGATCGGTAGGATTCGATCAGCACTTAGGACTAGACAAAATGAAGTTAGTTACCCTTCAGTGATCAGTCAACATAAATGAAACCTTTCAAAAAGGAAGTAGCTAGAACTATATATACACCAACAAAGCTTACAGGGTTATAAATGATTATAGTCTCCAGGAGAAGGGAACCTTTGGCCAGTGTGGTCAGCGACTTATCCTTCAATGCATACCACTTCTGTCGTCGATTTACGAGCTATAAAATAGTATATCAAAATTAGATGACACAGATGAAAAGGCGGACTAAAACAAAAAGTAAGTTCTGTAAAATTTTATTTTGTGTAAGTTAGTGTGTTTGGCAGGAAGCCACAGACTTCAGTGTTAGGTTTTTAGAAACACATCAGTAACAGCGAATAGCTCGATGGTGTGACGTCACTAACTGCATGATGAGGCTATGGATCTCTGAGATCACTTTGCTTCCCTCAGTTATGTAGATACGCTCTGCTTATGAGTGAAAACAAGCATGAAACTTGGGCTACCAGCGCCTTCAAGATCTGTTCTAACCCTCTAACACTAATAGTAAAAGTGAGCCTCTATGATGGTTTGGTGACTCCAATGCGACATGAGTTTTAGAGACTGATCAGTATATAGGACTGAACAGTATGAAATCGGTAAGCTTTTTCAGCGGCTTTCATCAACTGATCACCTTTTATTTCACTTCCTGACTAATAAATGAACGACACATTTGAGAAAGTAGTCGATGACAGTTCTAGGACAACTTGACAATCAATGACTCTAGGGAATCATTCATGCTTTATGGCAAAATACTTCCATATTAACTAGCACTGGGATTATTTGATCCTTTGTTGGATAGAACATCCCATCTTGAATATCATGTATTCGTCTGACGGTCAGACATAAAACAGTATAGAATCTCATGCAAAGACCCATCATATGAAGTCAGCTATTTGTGTATCACCAAACAAACAGGAAATTATCAAAAATACACGGTAAATAAACGAAGATTATTAAGACGTCCGAATTTTTGGAGATGGTTAGAAGTGAACTCGTCTGAGCCACTGAGATTTATTGTCAGTCCAACCAAGGATTCCTAATATCCGAAGAATATAAGTCAGGTAGCCTACCTACACTTCACCATATGGCCTAAAAGAACGCCAGGAACTTTACATACTGCATGCTCACAATGAAATGTCTGCAATTTTAAGGAAAGCTAAGAAGGTTTTTAAAAAAGAACGTTTCAGTGAATGACTATGAGCAATTTCACTTGGTGTCTTCAATAATTACTTCTTATCATCCTGAGAACTTTATTTAGAAAATTCACATTGCTGGTTCCTTTGTACCCGATTTTAGTGATATAGATATAATACGTTTTACTGAGCACAAAGTATCCATTCGATGTTAGTCCCGTCTCTTCAGTTGCAAGTAGGCAAAACAATTACAAGAGATTTATTGCATAAAATGTTATTATGTGGTTGTAATTCTTGGTTAGGAAGTTGCATTAACGACACGATTTTGTTCTGTTAACTGAAGAGGATATTTTACTTTCAAACTGAAATGTTTTTCCACTATGGTCTTCCTTGAATAAGTAAAGCACATCCTTGTAGATATTGACTTAAGAACAAAAATACGCGACTGAATCATGTCATTGATTGCTACTTCACAATCTTATCAACTTATGTACCAGTTTTTCTCTCCTTCAATTATTTAATCAACTTTCACAGATCTCAGTTTTACTTAAATCCATTTAATTTTCAGTATGATAATTTATCTAGACTTTAAGGAAGTGGATATGGATAGGGCATACACTGAGAAGGCTGACTGGAGACATCACGCGTCAGGCCAGTTGCTCGAGTGGAACCCCCATGGGAAGCGACAAGTTGGACGTCCCAGCTGAGGGTGACATGGAGGAGATCGTGTGAGGAAGAAATGAGAGCTTGTGGGCTGTCGCGGAGCCAGGTTCAAAAGATTTCAGAGACGTGCTACTGAAGCCCTATGTTCCATTAAGAACCCAAGGGACTAATAATAATAAAGGTTTACGTAAAACTTCCTGACTAGTGAACATTTTTATTCGTAGGTTACACTGCGAGTTAGGAGTTCAGTAAATTCATTAAGTATTTTGTTCATTTTTTTTTCTATCAACTTTCCGTTAGCAAGTAAAAATCGTAGATACCAATGTAATTTAATCTGATGTAAAAAATAATTATTATGAATTATCTGAAAAAGCTTTTTTCTCACTGGTAGTGATATTATTTCTTTTCATATAACTCACCTGTATAAGAGGGAATGAAACACGTCCTATGACTTCTGATGTATCTTTTCCTTCTTCATACATGTACACCTCTAAGATGGAGTATATATCACCGATGGGACTTGAACAAGCGTCAGGTGAATAGTTGTATGAAAGAGAAAATGTTTTTAGGGGATTAGATATAAAGGAGACTTGATATTTTACATATTTTTTATAAAGTTATTAATTACTTTCTACAAACCACCATTTAAATCACTAACTAATATTGATTAGTGACTTCCTTCGAGGTGAATTTCTCGAAGTTCTAGTAAGAAATCGCGACCTATGGGGTCAACCAAGATAGGAGTGAAGCAAATGTTCTTTGACGACGCAGGATGTTATTCGTGTAGTTTCACCAACAAAAAATTACTATTGTAAGTGGTGACTAACAGGATTTCAGCCAAGTGGCTCTAGTATGGTAGCTGACTGACCATCAGAAGTAACACTTCTGAGATCACGCCCTAAAGGCATAGTAACTATGATTTTCTAGGAATACTCTTTAATCACACGAGTCGACGTAGTCGGGACTACCTAAAAATATTAGACATAATCCAACTAATACCAAAACTGCACCCTGCCAACGGATCCATATAATTCTACAAGCTCTCATCCGAAAAATATCATGCAATTTAACATTGGGAATCGTCTATAAGAAAACGCAGAAAGGCATGGACCGGAAGACTAGATCTTTCATCAGACAGTGGATACACCTTCTTTCACACACACCTGTCACCTACTTACACTTACCAATCAGCTCCCGCGGATTTGGCATTGCCCATCTTACAACTTTAATCCCACTCCAATGATGACAGCGTGCAGAGAGGATACTAGCATTCCAAGCACTATACATTCACTGGGTGGCTACCTCTCACACTTCGGGCCTTTCCTACGTGTCTCCAACCTGTCTATTAAGGCGCACAAAGAAATTGTACACAACCTTACAGAGGCGAAAAGGAGTAAGGCCAAACAACTGTACAACACCCTCTGTGTTAAGGCTTCAAAGATGCATGGAACCAAATAACTGGGTTCGGAACCTATAACGCATATTTCCCAGACTATAAATTAGAGGCATCCAACTGAGGGGTAGACTTCTGAAAACCGAAGTTAGATGCGCTCGTGGATAGACAGTGACCGCAGATATTTGCTTGCACAGCTCATCTGACCATCCTGAAAGCTTCGCACATACTCTTCAATACTGCTCAATCACGCCTGATACGAGATACCGCAGACACAACGCCATCGTTAAGCTAATTCCCAACTAGATTAAGCGTAAGGGCAATGATGCACTAATAGAAACTATCATCCTTCGCAATGAAACATTTTGCAAACCAAACATGATTACTATTTGAGAAGAGGTTGCGTGCATCATGAATGCGTCATCTGAGACGACTGCAGCTTGGACAAAAGCTGGCTGTCAAAAATCTCGAAACACGACAATATGTCCATTATAGCTGAGATTCAAAGTCAGCTACAAGCTCCTGGATTTCGTTTCGATCAATACAGAACGTGCCTATGTATCCCAACGCGCAACCATACACTCGTAAAGTGTTAAATTACTCCGGAACCATCGCTCCACCACATTTGATATTTCCAATATATGCAATGTATACAATCTCAAGATTTCTGAAAATCTATGATACATATATGCGAAGTACAAGATGAAGACGCCTCTGAAACCTGTATAAACATTGGCGTGGCCCCTGGGAATTTCAACTTTCTGCTTATTTCCCTTTTAATTTCCAACTTGCACCCGCAGCTTGATGGTCCCCATTTTGTATCAGTCTTCTTAATGTTTCTTCCAATATACTCCCCTTTAAAACTTATACATGTCAGCCTCTGCTAACACTTCTCATTAGGTACATATTGACGCTCTATGCGCAACACTAACTAGAGACCTGTTTAAAGGTGCTTTTATATGCTCAAAATACATATGCTAAGAGCCAACTGCTTGGTTTTAGCAAGCTTACCCAGTCCAAGAACTCAATGCAGTCCAAACTAAGGAGGTATAAGAAGACACCCGCAACGTATGAACCTTCTCCGTTAGTGAGAATGCATGGCTTGTTGGGTGCATCGTTTTCATGTATATTCGTCTAATTAAAAGCTATCCGTGTATTGAGGTGTTGACGGATATCTAGCCGATGGAGCACGTTTAGTAATCCTTGATCGAACAGCCAGTTAGCTGATGACTTTAAAAGCCATGGTGTTTGGAATTTAGTTGAAGGACGTTGGTTTTCCTAGTGGATTTGCAGATAGTAAATATCAACCTCCGAAGCGACTCACTGTTTTACCGTCCAGCGCTAGGTTTTCGAAGCGAAGAAACCCATCCAGTGGAGTTGATGGCAGAGCAACTCAGACTTTACCTAACACTCCGAGTTGCCCAAAACGTTTCCTTTGATGCCTTTGCCTTGCTGAGCGATGGGAGAGCATGCAGTGCATGAGAGATGTAATGGGGGTGCTGGGCTGTGTGCCTGTTATCTATTCCGGTTAGGAATGAGTTGTTTGGAATACTTGCCTATGTCTTTAGTATATTCGGCAGGTCAATGATGAGTTTCACCCTGGTAACTGCACCAGAGGTTGATGCTGAATAATGGAAGCGATGAAACTGCCATCATCCCTCCCAGCTGGGAAAATGGGTTTTTTTGAGCAGTCACCAATTGACTCTTGAACCTGGTGAGTTTTCTGCTAACCACACAGGCAGTAATGACCGAAGTTCCTGAAAACTGCAATAGGTAGCTTGCTTTTCGAACTGAAAGTTCTAGGTTTGACCGCGAAAAAGTAGTCGAGGCACAGTGTTGACCAGTACCAAACTAGGATGAAACAGTTAACCAATGCTTGTAGGTTTTCAGCTGTTCTCCAACTGATTTTTATACAAGATAAACATCATTTTGAAGTCATATGATCTTCACAAACTAGAGGCTGTAAGTAATTAACTGATGAAATAAAATTTCGATACATTTTTCATAAACTTGTGATGACTAGATGAACATCTGAGATTAAAGATTGTAACAAACATCTGTGCAATAAAGCGTGATATCACATAACTTCATCACCATCATCATTCGAAACTTATACTTCTATCTGTTATGATAGAAAATATCGATAATGAGACTTCGTCCTTGAAAACTGAACTTTGTATAAAGAGAGGCTGAGTTGGACAAAAGTCCCGGTTGCTAATCGAATGTCTTCAGGTCATCAGTTAACAGCTCAGTTAATTGTATCTTAAAATGTATCTACTAATAGGTTTTAACTTCAGTTCATCCTTAATTAATATTTATTTTCATAACCATTAGGTTGACAATAAATCGAGACTACCATAGATGGTCTAGTCAACAGTTATTCAGTCACTTTGTCCTTCTAAATCAATTCTATTCGACTTAGAAGAAGGAGATAAATACCCGTTTGTGAAGTCAGTGTGGTGAAAGTGGTGAGAGCACACAGTCGCTGATTCGTAAAAAAGGATGATGAAAACTCTAAATGATTCATCGGGAATTTAGACCTGATCAGCAGTTAGGTCTTGCAAATTAGTTACCAACATAATGAACCTGTTGTGCTTTCTTTTCTGTTTTATCTATTATAAACCTGCCTAAGTAATTCTTAGCTCCAAAAGTGATGATATTTCTGGGAGAACTAGTCACAGAGTAAATGTGCATTTAGGAGGACTAGTCCAGTGTTATCCCAACTGTCAGGCTTCAACGCATCCACATTCATTAGGTGATTGGTTCGTTGTCAGTACTCATCTCCTCTTAAAAAGACGTGCATGGGACACGTCTCAGTGAGCCTTCACGCCCTTCAAGAACTAAGTGCAGCTCATCTTTTCGAGGAAACAATCCTCATACCACTATGTCGATTCACATGATAAACAACCAAGGCTAGGGTTAACGCCACCAGCATTTTAGAACGAGTATCACTGAGTTTTGCAACGCAAACTACACCTGTCTCTGGGAACTAATTCAGTGAAACTGACCCCTTGGATCAGAAAGCTGCATGCATCTTACCTTTCAGTTGCACTGCACTTCAGTAGAGCTCTGAACAAAATCCAGACGGCTGGCTAGATCCGCACCAGTGATCTTGCGCATATGAATCACGTTGACTGCGATTACTGCTACGAGAAGTTTGACTGTGAATTGGCTGATATCCAGTGAGGCCATGATGAAGCTTACTATCGTAGCTTAACTAGGCTCAGCGTGTAATTCCGCATGCATAACGTCCGTTCTAGAATATTCGTTGAACCCTTCTATACATATACAAACTTACTATTAATTCTTGTATATTTATTCACCAATTTATATGCTTCTAATTACATCATATCAGCGTTATCTATTCTTCAGGCTGATAATTTTCTATCGAATTGATCAAGAATGTAGGCATTCTGTATAATTTGATATTAAAATTGTTTTAGTCTGTAAGCAACTAGCGAAAAATCCCGGAATAAAATGTATCCATGCTATTCTGCTAAAACTCTTCTTCTAGTCCTGTTCAGTGTTCAGTTTTGCTGGACAGGGGAATATGAAGAAGGAATACTCAGCACGGCTTTTCTCAAATCCGCCATTATTTAATGAATTTTCTAAGTTTTGGTCTCACAACTCTAAGGCAGTGGAGACTTACCAGATGAGAACTGAGAGAAAAGTTAACCGAGTATCAGAGACTTTAGGTGATCTCCGTTTAGAATCTGTTATAATAGTGGGAACACATTCCCATCCCACTGTCATTTAAATCCTTAGAATCTTATCGTTGTACTGTTATCAAAGAACGCTATCTATACTAATATATACTAGTAGAATATGCAGCAACATCAGCAAACAAAAGGAGTGGTATAGATTTACAAGGAAAAAAGATGCGAAGATTTAGTCTCCACTCCTCCGTTGACTACCTATTCAGTACAAGATGATCTGATTCATCATCTTTCCTTTCTAAATGATACCTTTTCACATGCGTTGACATCATCAGCATCATTCTGATTGGCTTATCTTTCCTCCTGATGTTTTGCCTCTCACCCCCCCCCCCCGACGTGCTCATGGGATGCATAACATGTTGAATGAATACAAAATAGTTTTGAGTTTCATATAATCATCATCTGTTTAT